TGCTCTTCTCTGGACCCTTTCCAATTTCTCCACATCTTTCTTGAAATGCGGTGCCCAGAACTGGACACAATACTCCAGCTGAGGCCTAACTAGAGCAGAGTAGAGCGGAAGAATGACTTCTCGTGTCTTGCTCACAACACACCTGTTAATACATCCCAGAATCATGTTTGCTTTTTTTTTTGCAACAGCATCACACTGTTGACTCATATTTAGCTTGTGGTCCACTGTAACCCCTAGATCCCTTTCTGCCCTACTCCTTCCTAGACAGTCTCTTCCCATTCTGTATGTGTGAAACTGATTTTTTTCTTCCTAAGTGGAGCACTTTGCATTTGTCTTTGTTAAACTTCATCCTGTTTAACTCAGACCATTTCTCCAATTTGTCCAGAACATTTTGAATTTTGACCCTATCCTCCAAAGCAGTTGCAATCCCTCCCAGTTTGGTATCATCTGCAAACTTAATAAGCGTACTTTCTATGCCAATATCTAAGTCGTTGATGAAGATATTGAACAGAGCCAGTCCCAAAACAGACCCCTGCGGAACCCCACTCGTTATACTTTTCCAGCGGGATTGGGAACCATTAATAACAACTCTGAGTATGGTTATCCAGCAAGTTATGTATCCACCTTATAGTAGCCCCATCTAAATTGTATTTGCCTAGTTTATCGATAAGAATATCATGCGAGACCGTATCAAATGCCTTACTAAAGTCTAGGTATACCACATCCACAGCTTCTCCCTTATCCACAGGACTCGTTATCCTATCAAAAAAAGCTATCAGATTGGTTTGACACGATTTGTTCTTTACAAATCCATGCTGGCTATTCCCTGTCACCTTACCACCTTCCAAGTGTTTGCAGATGATTTCCTTAATTACTTGCTCCATTATCTTTCCTGGCACAGAAAATACACAGAATGTGTATTTTACACAGTTGTTAGTATCCGTAGAGCTTATGGATAGGCATCTTTCCTTTGTATTTTAATTGAAATAAATGAAATTTGAAGTTTTTTGGAAGCTCCTTCATGGGAGGTTTTAAAAAGAAGACTGGATAGTCATCTGTCTTGGATGGGTTAAACACAACAAGGGGGTTAGACTGGATGACCCTTGTGGTCCCTTCTAACCCTATGATTCTATGAAATAAGACCAACAGAAACAATAAAACTGGAGCTGAATCATAAATAACATCATCTGGTTTATAAACTGAACAGACAGGTTTTACTATTGAGAGAGTTTCCATGCTTATAATAAGAGTCATAAGGCATTCTAAAATGAGATAAATAACTGAGAAGTAAACAGCTCCTAGTTCATTACTTAATTACTGAAATTAAGCCAAATAATTTGGTTTTTTCCTCATCCCACTGATTAAAAATTAATCTAAACTTTAAATTCAGTTTATTTTTTGTAAGTGAGTAAATGGAAGAACACATGACAAAGTAACAGGCTGTCCAGAGGAGGCGGTTGACGTCTGAAAGCTGGTAGGCAAAGCTGATACGAAGGTATGATCAGAAATCTCTGATGGAAATAGATAAAGATAATACTGTATCGTACTGAAAACAGGGAAAGCAAAGAACCTAAGGAACCTTCAAAGGAGGACTTGGCTTTGATTCTTTATATTGGAGCAGAATTGTCTCACATGATTGGTACAGTAGCATGGCTATGGTGTGACAGTACCATTGTTTTCCCTCAGTATTTACGTTCAAAACAAATAGGCGAACATGTTGCCACTTCCACCTGTGAGTGCTAACATTGCTTCCTTTTGTCACACCCACACCGCACGATTACCTAAACCACAGGGGCCGACTTTCTGATTTCCCTGGAGGTGCTCGACCTCCCCCTCCCTCCATCCCAGGCCTCACTCATCCTCCCCCCCAGGCTCCACCCCTGCTCTGCCTCTTCCTGACCCCTGAACAGCTGATCAGTGGCGGGAGGCGCTGGTGTTAGGAGGGAGAGGAGCTGATCAGCGGGGCCTATGACCTAAATATATTATGGAGATGCTTCATCTTCCTCTGACATATATAAGGTGTCGGCCACTGCTAGATGCAGGACTGGGACTAGTTGGACTAGCGATCTCATCAACACTTTCCATGTTTTGGGCTGCACTGATCCCCATATAACTTCCCTCAAGGAGAACATGATTGTGACTACATCTGGGCTGTACCACTACCACCTTCCCCCCTGAAACATTACAGCTATGTTTTGTGTAGTAAAGTGGTCATCCAGGGATTAACTGGGTTACTCAGGGTATTATAGGATGGAGCTATGCTCCACCCCTCCCTTATTTCCTGTTTAGTTAGTGTGTGTTTTCCCCCACTGCGTTTGTACATATGTGAATAAAGCAGCATATTTCCAGCCTGCAGTACTGTGAGTAACATATGTTTCTTGTGTACTGAGCGGTCCATTTACAAAATTGGCAATGAGGAAAAAGCGGATGAATGGCAACTTATGGGGAAATTGCAGAGTTTATTGCAGAAAATGAGGATTGACAGCAATATTCTGAAAGATTGGGTCACTATTGTATTGCAAATGAGATTATAGATAAGGACAAATAGAAAGCACTTTTCCTCAGGGCATGTGGCAGTAAAATCTTCTCCTTCTTAAAGAGTTTGTTGCAACCCCAAAACCAGGTGAGAAAAAATTAGAAGGCCTACAGAGCACTATATACCAAAGTAGACCATTATTATGAAATGTTTCAAGTTGCATAGTAGAATAAGGAGGCAAAGTGAAAGTACCTGCATTTGTGATGGAGTTAAAAAATTAACAGAATTGATCATTTGGAAATGTCTTAGTGGATGTGCTGTGGGACAGATTTGTTTGTGATATTAACAATGAGAGAATTCAAAGACAATTGCTGGCAGAGGGGAAGGTAACCTGGCCCAGAGCCGTAGAATTAGCAACAGCAATGGAAGCAGCAGCAGAAAAACTTCCAAGATTTGGTATTAGAATGCAGGAAAAATCAGAGACTCAGTAAACAAACTGCAGAGCCAGGTGCAAGGGACTCAGGCTGCAGTGGGGGTATTTCTGCTGTGCAGAAGCTGCTTTTGCTTCCCCTTGTAAATTTAAAATGGTGTGGTGGCATAAATGCCTCAAGATTGGACCCTTAGCCATAGAATGCAAAGGTGACTATCAAACAGATCTCAAGCCCAGGAAGGTACACCCCAACCGACCAGAGGAAAAGGAAGAAAGCAGAGGGCATTTTACCTTGAGGAGGATGAAGATGCAGAAGATGAGAGATGCTGTTGAAAGGAGACATACTAAAAGGGAAGAAAATACAGTAGAACGTAAGTTACAAATACGTCGGGAATGAAGGTTCATAACTCTGAAATGTTCGTAACTCTGAATAAAATATTATGATTGGTCTTTCAAAAGTTTACAACTGAACATTGACTTAATACAGCTTTGAAACTTTGCTATGGAGAAGAAAAATGTTGCTTTTAACCATCTTAATTTAAATGAAGCAAGCATAGAAACAGTTTTCTTACCTTGTCAAATCTTTTTTTAAACTTTCCCTTTCTTTTTTTAGTAGTTTACATTTAACACAGTAATATGTGGTATTTATTAATATTTTTTGTCTCTACTGCTGCCTGAATGCAGATTTCCGGTTCCAAATGACGTGTGTTGTTGACTGGTCAGTTTGTAACTCTGGTGTTCGTAACCTGAGGTTCTAGCGTAGGATCTTTTTGAAGTAATGGTAGACAAACACCAATCAAGGAGGGTCTAGATCAGTGCTTCTCAAAGCCGGTCCGCCGCTTGTTCAGGGAAAGCCCTTGGCGGTCCGGGCCGGTTTGTTTACCTGTCACGTCCGCAGGTTCGGCCGATTGTGGCTCCCACTGGCCGCGGCTCGCTGCTCCAGGCCAACGGGGGCTGCGGGAAGCGGCGCGGGCCAAGGGATGTGCTGGCTGCCCTTCCCACAGCCCCCATTGGCCTGGAGTGGTGAACTGCAGCCAGTGGGAGCCATGATTGGTCGAACCTGTGGACGCGGCAGGTGAACAAATCAGCCCAGACCGCCAGGGGCTTTCCCTGAACAAGTGGCAGCCCGACTTTGAGAAGTACTGGTCTAGATAATACTTAGTTCTGCCTCAGTGCAGGGGACTGGACTAGATGACCTATCAAGCTCCCTTACAGGAGTGTGTAACAGCCAGGATTAATATCCAGGATAGGGTCAAGCAAAAATATTTTAAAGCAAGACCAGTTCCTTATGCCCCCCGAGAAAAGTTTGAGTCTGAGTTAGATGAACTAGAAAAGGAGAGCATCATTTCACTAGTGCAGTTTTATGACTAGGCCACACCTATAGTATCTGTGATTAAACCAGACAAGACCATTCATATCTATGGGGATTATAAAATCACAGTGAATCAGTTCTCCAAATTAAACAATTACTCCATTCCACAGATGGAGGTCTTGCTGGCAGCGTTAGGTAGAGGTCAAATATTTAGTAAGCTGGACATGTAGGCATACCAACAGATGAGTCTGGAGATGGACTGTAAGAAAGTTACCACTATAAACACTCACCAGTACAATAGATTGCCATATGGAATATTGTCAACACCTGGAATTTTCCAGAGGGCCTTGGAAAATTTGCTGAAAGGTATCCTGTCTGTGGTAGTGAGAATTGATGACCTCGTCATCACAAGCAAAAGTGATGCTGAACATCTGTCAACATTTCAACAACTGGAGACAGCGGGGCTACACTTAAAACAAAGTAAATGCTTTTTTGTGAGACCGTAAGTGGGCTGTCTGGTCTACAAGATAGACAAGGAGGGGATTCACTCTAGGGCAGACAAGGTCTGGCAATTGAACAGGCTCCAGCCCCTCAGAACACAACTGAGCTTCGAGCATATTTAGGTATGTTAAATTATCACAGGCTTCTCCCAAACATTTCAGCCCTCTCAGAGTCTTTGCATCACCTCCTGAGGGAGGAGAACCCATGCTTTAGGGAAAGAGATGAGAGCTTTCCAGGAGTCTAAAAAGTTACTTAAGTCCAAGGAACTCCTTGTTCATTTTGACCTGGGCAAAGAATTAATCCTGTCATGTGATGCTTCATCATAGAGCTTGGGGGACCTTTTCACATAACATGAGGAATGTTGGAGGACAGCCAATTGGCTATATCTCCAGGGCACTGACTAAAGATGAACAGGATTATTCTCCATTAAAAAAGAAAGTCTAGCTATTATTTTAGGAATAAACAAATTCTATCAATACCTATCTGGGCAGCCTCTTGCCATTCTGACAGATCACCAGGCATTTGTGGGACTCTTCAATGAAGACAAGTGTGTGCTGTCCATAGCAGCTGCTTGGCTACAGTGTTGGTCTTTGACATTAGCCATTTATGAGTACAGAATAGCCTATAAGGCAGGACATGAGCATGTCAATACAGATACCCTCAGTTGATCTCCGGTACCAGAACAATCTGGTGCTACAGCGTTCCCACGAGAAATTACATTATTCACAGAACACCTTGACCAGACACCAATAAAGGCTTCCCAGATAAGCACCCTATACTGTCCCGGGTGCAGCAGCACAAACTGCAGAGCTGGTTAAATCAATGTAAGGGGTAGGGACGACCCACAACATTTTGGCACCTGAGGCGGGGAGCTCAAATGACGCCCTCATGCCCCCTCACTTGGGCCAAAACTTTGAAAGGTCTCAATTCTGCCTTCTTCCTATTCTACTCCTCTCATGGTACTGCTCTGCTACCTACCCCAATAAAGGAGAACTAACAACTTAAAATGCCTTGTTCAAAAATGTTAAGTAACACTTAACTTTCAAAGGCCTGAACAGCAAATGTAACTTTTCTTGTCTGCATAGTAAACACTGGCATTTTTATCTGTTTGAATAATCAAAGTGGTGCTTTCTGTGCCTTCTTGGTTGCAAAGATTTGAACTGCTTCCTGAAAGTCCACAGTCTCGGCCAGCTCATGCTCTATTGAGATTGTTGCAAGGCGGACCAGCCTCTCCTGTGTCATTGTGGAGCGTAGATGTGTTTTTATTAACTTCAGCTTGGAGTTCTCCACTGGCAACTGTTACAGGAAGTGTTAGAAGTATGCGCAGAGCAACAAAAGCATTTGGAAAGAGGGTGGTCATCTTCTTTGTGCACATATATTCCAGAACAGCCTTTGGAGTTGATCCTGCTGAAATGTATCTTGAAAGGGCTTTCAGTTCATCACCTAAATCACTTGCATCAATATCATGCATGTCATCATGTGTCAACACTGTCTCTAGTGCCCTGCATTGCTGGTGTAGGTCTTCTTCAGGTATAGTGAGGAGTTTTGGAATATCATACAACATCCCAAATATACTGCAATGTTCCTTGAGCTGCATGAAACATTCTTCAACTGACTGTATTGCACATTCTAGGACCTGGTTAAAGAATTCAACTTTGAATTGTTGTTTGGGGTCTCTTATGGGATTATCCCATAGCTTCAGTCTGAAGTTCCTCTGCCAACTTCTGTGTGCTCATCAGAACATTTTGCAATCCCTCATCTGACCGGTAAGTCTGTAGGTATGACTTTGCTTTGTCCAGTTGTTCCATTGCTCCAGATATATCAAGATCAACACCTTGGAGTCTGTTGCTTACAACATTTATTTCACACAGTATGTCATGCCACAACACTAAGCCACACAGAAATTTGAAGTTATGTATGTTTCTGGTGATTCCATTTCCTTCTGCCACTGTTCTCGCACGAACAGTTCCTGCTATAGCATTATCCTCCATAATGGCAACTATGGCATCATCTATCTTCCCAGTCTGGTGTTTGATAAGCTTTATTGCCTCCGCTTGACTTTCCCATCGTGTGGCGCTCAGTGGTTTCAGTGTCAGAGAGGATGTTCCCAAATGTTGCTTCAAAATTTGCCATCGATGAGTTGATACAGAAAAAATACATAGATACTTTGAATTACATTAAAAAAATTCAGCAGCCTGACTAGAAGCTGATGCTGTATCACTGACCACCAAGTTCAATGAATGAGAACTGCATGGGACAAAAAAAGCTTGAGGGTTTAACTCTCAGATTTGTGTCTGCACTCCTCTGTTCTTTCCTCTCATGTTGGCACCATTATCGTAGCCCTGTCCTCTCATGTCAGCTATTGCAATTCCCATACCTTCCAGCTTTTTAAGAAGCACATTTGTCATACCAGCTCCTGTAGTATCATCAATGTCAATAAATTCTAGAAAATGCTCTCTGACAGTCACCATTGCAGGGACATTTTCACTAGGTTCTGTTACAAAACACACCATTAAAGTCATTTGTTCCATATGGCTGATGTCAGGTGTGCAATCCAGAATAACAGAGTAATATCTTGCTGACTTCAGATCTGCCACAATCTTCTGTTTGACTTTTTTTTGCCAGTAACTGTATGATCTCATTTTGAATTTTTCCAAGGTAGTGATGTGTGTACATTTCTTGAGTGGTGACTCTTCTTAGATGCTCCTGGAGTACAGCATCAAACTCAGCCATCAGCTCCACAATTTTAAGGAAGTTTCCATTGTTTAGCACATACAGCTGATCTGAAGTGCCACGCAGTGCTAGGTTTTGGGTAGCAAGCATTCTCACAATGGCAATGAGCCTTTTCAGAACGTTTTGCCAGTAAAGAGACTCCGATGCAATCTTCTCTTGATGCTGATCATCTATTGTGGCCTTTAACCTTAGTCTCATCTCAAGCTCTTTCCACCTATGGAATGCTCTCTGGTGATTTGCTGCCTTCTCATGGCATGCCAGATTTCTAGCCAGATTTTTCCAGTTCTTTGTTCCTGTAGAAGCCAATGTGGCTGGAACATTACACTGGAAGAGTTTGCAACAAAAACAGTATGCAGCATTCTGGGTTTTTGAGTACTGTGACAGACCCAGACCAGTGGGGTACAGGAGTCTGGTAGAGGGCAAATATACTGGTCACTGGATGAGTA